CACAGAATTGTTACTGAGGGCCACAGAACCGTTACTTAGGGCCACAGAATTGTTACTCAGGGACAGACACAGAATTGTTACTGAGGGCCACAGAATTGTTACTGAGGGCCACAGAACCGTTACTTAGGGCCACAGAATTGTTACTTAGGGCACAGGGTTACAGAGGGCACAGAATTGTTACTTAGGGCCACAGAATTGTTACTGAGGGCCACAGAATTGTTACTGAGGGCCACAGAATTGTTACTTAGGGCCACAGAATTGTTACTCAGGGACACAGAATTGTTACTGAGGGCCACAGAATTGTTACTTAGGGCCACAGAATTGTTACTTAGGGCCACAGAGAATTGTTACTGAGGGACACAGAATTGTTACTGAGGGCCACACTGAACAGAACCGTTACTTAGGGCCACAGAATTGTTACTCAGGGACACAGAATTGTTACTGAGGGCCACAGAACCGTTACTTAGGGCCACAGAATTGTTACTCAGGGACACAGAATTGTTACTGAGGGACACAGAATTGTTACTGAGGGCCACAGAACCGTTACTTAGGGCCACAGAATTGTTACTCAGGGACACAGAATTGTTACTGAGGGCCACAGAACCGTTACTTAGGGCCACAGAATTGTTACTCAGGGACAGACACAGAATTGTTACTGGGGACACAGAATTGTTACTGGGCCACAGAATTGTTACTGAGGGCCACAGAATTGTTACTCAGGGCCACAGAATTGTTACTGAGGGGGCACAGAATTGTTACTGAGGGCACAGAACCGTTACTTAGGGCCACAGAATTGTTACTCAGGGACACAGAATTGTTACTGAGGGCCACAGAAACTTGTTACTTAGGGCCACAGAATTGTTACTCAGGGACAGACACAGAATTGTTACTCAGGGACACAGAAATTGTTACTGAGGGCCACAGAACCGTTACTTAGGGCCACAGAATTGTTACTCAGGGACACAGAATTGTTACTGAGGGCCACAGAATTGTTACTGAGGGCCACAGAATTGTTACTCAGGGACACAGACACAGAATTGTTACTGAGGGACACAGAATTGTTACTGAGGGCCACAGAACCGTTACTTAGGGCCACAGAATTGTTACTCAGGGACAGACACAGAATTGTTACTCAGGGACACAGAATTGTTACTCAGGGACACAGAATCGTTGAATTAAAGAGTATGTCAGACAACATGCAGAGGAGTGGCAGAGGAGGCAATGTTTTAGGAGCGAGCAGACGTGGCAGCAGAGGAAGGGGTCGAGGCAGCACTATTCGCAGCCAGAGGCCAGTGCTCCCGGTGTCATCCAGCGGTCGTGTCTCCACCGACAACCCTGCCGTCATCGATTGGTTGGCTCGGTCGTCTTCCTCTTCCCAGGTCACCTCTGACACCTACAGCCAACGGTCGGTGGGTACGTCAGACACAACCGTTAGTTGGCATGGCCCGGGACCAAGCCCACTGAAATCACGTGTCCTCTACCTGCCCCTGTCCTTTGGTGTTCCCTCACCAAGCGAAGTATCGCATGCTGTGGGCTCAGCCCCACTGTACAGTGAGGAAGAGCTAACAGAGGGCGGTCAGGAACGGGGGGAGACATCCGCCTTTTCAGCAGCCAGGCGAAGAAGTAGTGGCGAGGAGAGTGGCTCGGTAGCCGGTCTAGAGACAGGTCTGTCTCCTGACCCAGACGCAGCCGAGGGGGCTAGTTGTAGTGAGGCGGAGACCCTACTTGATGATGAGGAGGTTGATCGCACTTGGCAGCCTCGTCGTCATCAGGCAATTTCTTCCGCATCATCAGGAGAAGAGGGTGGCAGCTTGGCAGCGAGCGAAACAGTCGGTGGGTTGCCCAGGAGGCAGCAGGGTCGCAGCAGTGTCAGTGGAGCCAAACGGCCACGGAGTAGAGCACCAGCTCCACTGCAGCCTACCACCACGGCCAGTAGTGGTGCCGGTGTGCACGGAGGAAGCAGCAGTCAGCCAGTGAGGAGTATCGGGGGCAAAGTTTCCTACTCGGCGGTGTGGCAATTTTTCGTCAAGCCGCCCGAGGAAGTAAACGTAGCCGTATGTCGACTATGTGGCCAGAAAGTCAAGCGTGGCCAGGGGGCCCATGTTGGGACTACAGCGTTGCGGCAGCATATGCAGCGTCGCCATTTGGTGGCCTGGGAAAACCGTGATAAAGATACGGCGGTTCTGCCCGCCCCAGCCCCCGCTCCATCACCCCGCTCCGTTACTTGCTCCGTCACCCGACGTCAATCGCCCTCCATCAGCCAGTCAAGGCTCCAGGGCCCACTTGTTAGGAGGCCACGCCTCTATTCCACGTGTCATGGTCAAAGATTTACGGCCTCCATTGTGCTGCTGGGCCGTCACAGCCACCTCTGCAACTTGGAACCATTACGGTCTCCTTAACACACTGCTGGTTTGCCTCCACGTTTTGCACGTAGGGTGGCGCAAGATTCAACGCCTCATACCACCTCTGCCAGGCAGGTAAGGAAGAGTCCTCAGCCCCTATATACCGCTTTGTGCCAAGTCCAGAGGCATGGTCCACTGTGCAGGGCCACAACGGTGTCACGCAGGTTGCTGCTGGTATGCCTTGGCGACGTGTGGAGACAGGGTTGACACACTGCTGGTGGAAATTTTTTGTGGAGTGCTGGCAGAACAGGAAATCCCCGATGGCTGTTCCAGGCCAAATGGCCCCTATAGCAACCATGTTGCGTCAGCGACAACGGAAAGAACATGGTGTCTGCTCTGCCATGTGCAGACATGGCTCAGGGATGAGCGGTTCTTTTGGCCTGTCCACCTTGTTGCACTCCGCCGCTTACCGTTCAAAAAATGGTGGCCTTTTTCACACCCTCACTGAGCTGGGAGGCCAAACGGAATGTAACGTATATTTTGGCTATGTAGTCAAGGTGGAATTCCTGCTGCGCATTACGGGCCATCCCCTCAGACACTGCGAGGGCCCTAATTGCCGCCTATTTCCGCTGCCTGTTACAAGCTGCTGCAGGTCCAGAGTCTCCCCTGGGGTCCTGTAGGAGCCCATTGGCAGCCCATCGCCACACTCTGCCAACCAGCAAAGGTCTCCTCACACACTCACAGTGTTGCAGTTGCATAGGGTGATGGCAGATTACGCTTTCTTCACTCGCAGGAATCTGCCAACTACGCCCCAGCCGCAGTTGGTCCCAGAATCATGCTGTGGACACCTGGAGCTGTCCTCAATGGCCCTACTTGGCAGCACCCGATTGCTGCTCAAGGTAGACACATCCCCTGGGGGGCAGACTACTGGGCAGACAAAAGGAGGTTGAGGACCTTTGGCTTCCCAGGCATTATGTTGACAAAGGCTTGTCATCCAGGGTTGCAAGTAGACGAGGAGGCATCGGAGCCCCAGGTTTAGTGCTTGCAGGAGGTTGCAGGATGACATCCGGTGGACCCAGATTGTCCCTGCCATAGTGTGGCAGGACCACTGTGGAATCTGGAGGCAGGAGTGGGTTACCGACACATGCTTGGCAAACCAAGGTCCCATGATGCCATGTTACGGCCTCATGGCTGCTAATCTCCATCGCCACAGCATGTGCCACTTTCAGGTCTCCTCACACTGGTGGTGTGTTGAATTTTTTGAAAAATAGGGTGCTGCAGATTACGGGCCTCCCATAGCTGCTGCCAGGAGCCCCTAATCTGCCAAGGGGCCCCTATAAACCGCACCTCATGCTGCTGCCAAGTCCAGAGTCTCGTCATGGGTCCAAACGGCCTCCCATTGCTCTGTTGACGTTCTCCATGCCACACTAACCATGTGGATGCACTTTCAGGTCCCCTCACACTGCTGCAAGTGTGTTGAATTTTTTGACATAGGGTGCTGGAGAAAATAACGTACGGGCCTCCCATAGCTGATCCTCAACCCCTGCCAGGCCCCTAATCTGCCATGGGCCCTATGATACCGCCTCTGCTCATGCTGCTGCCAGGTCCAGAGTCTCTCATGGGTCCCTGTAGGCCTCCCATTGCCTGCTGTCTCCATCGCCACACTCTGCTTGTGCCACTTGGAAGGTCTCCCACCACTAGCGTGGTGAGTGTAGAATTTTTTGACATAGGGTGCTGGCAGATTACGGGCCTCCTATAGCTGCTGCCAGGCCCCTAATCTGCCATGGGCCCCCGTATATACCGCCTCCTCAGGCTGCTGCCAGGTCCAGAGTCTCAATCATGGGTTCCTGTACGGCCTCCCATTGTGCTGTCTCCATCGCCACACTCTGCCTCAAACATGTGCCACTTTCAGGTCTCTCACACACTGCTGGTGTGTTGAATTTTTTGACATAGGGTGCTGGCAGATTACGGGCCTCCCATAGCTGCTGCCAGGCCCCTAATCTGCCATGGGCCCCTATATACCGCCTCCTCATGCTGCTGCCAGTCCAGAGTCTCTCATGGGGTCCCTGTACGGCCTCCCATTGCTGCTGTCTCCATCCGCCATGAACATGCCATGTGTGCCACTTTCAGGTCTCCTCACACACTGCTGGTGTGTTTGAATTTTTTGACATAGGGTGCTGGCAGATTACGGGCCTCCTATAGCTGCTGCCAGGCCCCTAATCTGCCATGGGCCCCTATATACCGCCTCCTCATGCTGCTGCCAGGTCCAGAGTCTCTCATGGGTCCCTGTACGGCCTCCCATTGCTGCTGTCTCCATCGCCACACTCTGCCATGTGCCACTTTCAGGTCTCCTCACACACTGCTGGTGTGTTGAATTTTTTGAATAGGGTGCTGGCAGATTACGGGCCTCCCATAGCTGCTGCCAGGCCCCTAATCTGCCATGGGCCCCTATATACCGCCTCCTCATGCTGCTGCCAAGGTCCAGAGTCTCTCATGGGTCCCTGTACGGCCTCCCATTGCTGCTGTCTCCATCGCCACACTCTGCCATGTGCCACTTTCAGGTCTCCTCACACACTGCTGTGGTGTGTTGAATTTTTTGACATAGGGTGCTGGCAGATTACGGGCCTCCTATAGCTGCTGCCAGGCCCCTAATCTGCCATGGGCCCCTATATACCGCCTCCTCATGCTGCTGCCAGGTCCAGAGTCTCTCATGGGTCCCTGTACGGCCTCCCATTGCTGCTGTCTCCATCGCCACACTCTGCCATGTGCCACTTTCAGGTCTCCTCACACACTGCTGGTGTGTTGAATTTTTTGACATAGGGTGCTGGCAGATTACGGGCCTCCTATAGCTGCTGCCAGGCCCCTAATCTGCCATGGGCCCCTATATACCGCCTCCTCATGCTGCTGCCAGGTCCAGAGTCTCTCATGGGTCCCTGTACGGGCCTCCCATTGCTGCTGGGTCTCCATCGCCACACTCTGCCATGTGCCACTTTCAGGTCTCCTCACACACCTGCTGGTGTGTTGAATTTTTTTGACATAGGGTGCTGGCAGATTACGGGCCTCCCATAGCTGCTGCCAGGCCCCTAATCTGCCATGGGCCCCTATATACCGCCTCCTCATGCTGCTGCCAAGTCCAGAGTCTGTCATGGGTCCCCTGTACGGCCTCCCATTGCTGCTGTCTCCATCGCCACACTCTGCCATGTGCCACTTTCAGGTCTCCTCACACACTGCTGGTGTGTTGAATTTTTTTGACATAGGGTGCTGGCAGATTACGGGCCTCCCATAGCTGCTGCCAGGCCCCTAATCTGCCATGGGCCCCCCTATATACCGCCTCCTCATGCTGCTGCCAAGTCCAGAGTCTCTCATGGGTCCCTGTACGGCCATCCATTGCTGCTGTCTCCATCGCCACACTCTGCCATGTGCCACTTTCAGGTCTCCTCACGCACACTGCTGGTGTGTTTGAATTTTTTTTATTGTACATAGGGTGCTGGCAGATTACGGGGCCATCCCATAGCTGCATGCCAGGCCCCTAATCTGCCATTGGCCCCTATATACCACATCCTCCTCATGCTGCTGCCAAGTCCAGAGTCTCCAATCAGATGGGTCCCTGTACGGCCTCCCATTGCTGCTGTCTCCATCGCCACACTTCTTGCCATGTGCCACTTTCAGGTCTCCTCACACACTGCTGGTGTGTTCAATTTTTTTGTCATAGGGTGCTGGCAGATTACGGGCCTCCATTGCTGCTGCCAGGCTGTAATCTGCCATGGGCCCCCGTACCGCCTGGTCACGCTGCTGCTGGGTCCCAATTATTCAGTGTGACATGGGTCCCTCCATGTAACCGCCTCCCATTGCTGCCACTCTCCCATTGTGCCACTTTCAGGTCTCCTCACACTCCTGCTGGTTTCCAATTTGTCATAGTTTGCTGGCAGATTACAGGCCTCCCATAGGTGCTGCCAGGCCCCAAATCTGCCAATTTCATATGGCCCCCGTACCCGCCTCGTCACGCTGCCTGCTGGGCGTCCACAGTATGACATGGGTCCCTGTACCGCTCCATTGCTCCCACTCTGCCATGTGCCACTTTGAGGTCTCCTCACACTCTGCTGGTTTCCATTTTGTCATAGGTTGCTGTATGGCCTCCCATTGCTGCTGCCTCACCGCCACACTGTGGCTCCAAACACTGGTTTTTGGCCCCGTGACTGGCCAAATGAGTGAAGTGTTGCGGTGATTCTAGATCGACGGCACTCATCTGCATGTCATACTGACTGACAGTTATTATTTCTCTTCCCCAGCAGACTCCATGGGCATTTAATTTAAAGGTACAGTGTTCTGCACTAATATTAAGTCTCTCTGAAGCCTAGAAAACAGCCTTTTTTAAGTTAAATTCACAGCGATATATTCGACTCGAAACGAATATTTTCCACAAATTCGCCGAATCAGTCGAATCGAATTTTTGAATACACTTCGCTTCTTGAAGTTATTAAAGAAGTTAACTAAAGTATTCGGTGTGCTCTTTAAACCTACTGCATCCATAGAGCGGCATTGGAGGAATTACAGAGTAAAGTCAGTCTAATCAAACAAAGAAACAGCAATTGCATAATTTTTCTAATGCCACAGCGCACTAAGCACCAAAGGGTGCTGCGCCTGCCACAGTTATGTACTCTAACAGGCCAACGTGTTGGTCAATCGGACACAGTTTTGCCATTCCATATGTAGTACACATGATGATGAACCAGTTTTTGAAATGGTCTCTTAGTTTTGCCTACATGGAATGTAACACAGTCACAAATCATGTGGTGGACTACCCCGACTGAGGCGCATTCCATGTAGTGGAAGGAAGCACTGCCCATAAGGCAACAAGCATGTAGTACTCGCTTTAATAATTGGGCACCTACCACATCTAAAAGGTCCTGTTTATCTTTTACTTTGTAACAAATATAAGAAGCGCCACAGAAAATAAAAGTTAAATAAAATAAATAGCAGCACCTCTAACCAAAAAAGTTGAAATTGTGTATAAATAAAGAGTGCGCTAAATATTAACAAAAAATGAAAGGATAAATAATAGAAATAACAAATAAAATCCATAAATATAAACATAAGTCCAGCCACCATAAACAGTGATAATCCAATATCAACTTAATGTCAATCTTGAAACAAACACCCATGTGCAAATCCGACACCAGATGAAATGAATACACTCACCAGAGCTATATGCTGATTAAATTATAACCAGCATGATAGCATTTTGCTCTGGGAGCGATGATCTGCAGGATATCCCAGTAGAGGAACAGCAACCAATAGTGATCCAATCAGCACATATGGAACAGCTAAGCAGCAAACGGTCTTCCAGAAACATGGGCAAAGCTCGAGGAATCAGAAGAGAAAATTTTATTAATAAAGTACAACACTCACAAGGAAGGTGTCTAGCCAACACCAGCAATGACAGCCTCTATAATAACACATCCACGAGGGAAAAAACCAAGGGATGAACCTCCTGCACCGCGATCTCACAGCCGACAGCTGGGAGGACCTACCCGACATCACGTCCACTAGGCCACGCCCAATGCGTTTCGTCACTTGACGTCTTCAAGGGGTGTTTCGTCCCTTGGTTTTTTCCCTTGTGGATGTGTTATTATAGAGGCTGTCATTGCGGGTGTCAGCTAGACACCTTCCTTGTGAGTGTTATACTTTATTAATAAAATTTTACTGGTTTTAAACGTACTGCACCATCATATCTCTTCTGATTCCTCAAGCTTTGCCCATGTTATTGGAAGACCGTTTGCTGCTTAGCTGTTCCAAATGTGCTGCCTAACTGTTCCATATGCGCTGATTGGATCATTATTGGTTGCTGCTCCTCTACTGGGATATCCTGCAGATCATATCTCCCAGAGCAAAATGCTATCATGCTGGTTTATAATTTAATCAGCATATAGCTCTGGTGAGTGTATTCATTTCATCTGGTGTCGGATTTGCACATGGGTGTTTGTTTCAAGATTGACATTAAGTTGATATTGGATTATCACTGTTTATGGTGACTGGACTTATGTTTTATATTTATGGATTTTATTTATTTCTATTATTTATCCTTGCATTTTTTGTGAATGATTACCGCACTCCTTATCTCTTACTTTGCATTGTCCTTTTTTGTGAAATGACTTTTTACCTGTCTTTTAAGAAAAATGTGGAACTATACGTGGAATTACCATTTACAGTTTTAGATCCATTATCCACATCTTCTATGTCATATTCACTCTCATCTACCAAATCTACCTTCCAGACAATTATTGTTCTAAAATTCATGTTCCATGACCCAATTTTGCAACAGTTCATTCCATTCCTATAACCAGGGCAGAAGAGTATGCTCTTCATTGTGCGTACTTTTTCATCATATCACATTGGTATTCATGCTGTGCTTCCCAGGGCAATGACAAATATTTTATTACTTTGCTGAGCTCCAGGTAGATATAAAAGACAAAAAGTTATGCAGCTCTCTAATCATTAAAAAATCATTCATTGTATTTTCAGGTGTTAGAACAGGACCTGGGGCTCTCAGTGACACCCCGATCAAAGACGTACTCAAATATGTGGCCCCACAGAAAAAAAGCCCAGTTCTTTTAAGCCGCATATTTGTGTGATGTCAGCATCAAGGGGTTAAGGATGTGGTTTTATTAACTATTCTGTGGCAGGATATTACATGTTTTCTTATTGCCTCCACCGAAATGAACAAATACCTACATTTCTCCAGAGCTCTAAATATTTTTTGTTGATAATATGCACACCTAGTGATAATTTTCACTGAATCAGGGTTCCTCCTTGGTATTTTGCCAAATATAAGTCCCGAACATGACTTACCAGCCACGTTTTGGTAATTATTTTTTTTTAGGTACTTTCTGCTGTATCTTTGTAATAGTGGACGATCCCTCAGAACTGCTGCCTCCCTCTGAAAGTCAGATTCTGCTGAACAATTACTTTTAGGTCTCAAGTATTGCCCATATGGGATACTGTTAATCAATGCTTTAGGGTGGGCACTATCCACTCTTAAATCGAACCAAAGAATGTACTTACCTGTTGTACCATTGAGGAAGTTTGCCTTTAATTTTGGAGCCTCACTCGGCTGGTCCCCCATTTTGGTTCCCTCCTTGGATGGCTCACACTGGGTGGTTGCAAACTCTTTGGCAGATTGCCAGGTACCTTCAGTTAATACGTGAGGATGTTATATGTTGTTTTATTGATAGACCATGTTGTTTTATTGATAGACCATGTTGTTTTATTGATAGACCATGTGATGATTGATTTATTTTCTTTTATGCCTAAAGAGTAGCTATTCCCCCTTGTCTGCTCCTGAAAAGGTGGATTATTATCCAAGAAAGGTGTAGAGTTATACAAAGTCTATTTGAAACCATCATCTGCAAAATCCTAAGAAAGTTACAGGTGGCATTACCCACCAAGGTGCTATGATGTTTATTAATTGACCGGTGATAGAACATGACAACTGGGGGTTTTCTTTGTATTTGACTTTTAACTGAGGGAACTCTATAATAAAATATTATAAATTGTAAAATACATTTTGTTTAAGTTGTTCTTCAAAAATCAATCCATTTTTTTTTTTTTTTTTTTTACACCTTCAGGCCAGCCACATGACTCTGATGGTTCCACTGAGCTCTGCAGTGTGTAATTTCAGCTCTTCGTCCCTTTTTTTCTGAACTCTCGGACAAGCTTTATAAATTCAGTACTTGAACAGATTTCAAAGTACTTTTTCAGTCTTCTCAGAAATAAATTGTGCTAACAATACGTTGGGGAATCATATTGGTTCACGTAATGATGGTTCATTTTTAAGATTTCCAGAGACAGAGGTAGCAGAGGAACTGGCTCAGTTAAAGATTAATAAAACAATGGGCCCTGATGGGTATTCATCCCTGAGTTCTAAGAGAAATTTGAGGTAATAGTTGTTGGACCATTGATCTTTTTGATCAATCTTTTTTAACAGGAGAAGCTCCCCATAACTGGCGGACAGCTAATATTGTACCTATCCACAAGAAGGGCAGCAAGGTAGAAGCTGGAAATTACAGGCCAGCGAGTTTAACATCAGTTGTAGTTAATGGAATCACTCCTGAAAAGTATCATTGATCACTTAAAAACACATAACTTGCTGGACCCAAAGCGGCATGGGTTTACTGAGGGCAGATCATGTCAGACTAATTGGATTGGATTTTTTGACTATATTACCAATTTTTTGGACCTGGGCTGTGCTGTGGACATAGCATATCTTGATTTCAGCAAGGCATTTGATACAGTTCCACATAATGATCTAATACAAAAGTTGTGCAAGCCAGAACTTGGGTTGTTCAGTGTAAATGCAGCTGGTTAATGGATATATACCAGAGTGTGGTTGTAAAGGGAGTTCATTTGGAAAAATGCCCAGTCACTAGTGGCGCATCAAAAGGCTCTGTATTAGGTCCTGTTCTATTT